TGGAAAGAAATACAGTGGCACTAAATGTCAATGTTACAAAACAAATGACTCAAATCAATGACTCCAATTTGCACCTAACAAATTAGAAATAGAAGAGCAATGAAACCCGAAGTTAACACAAGAATGGAAATGATAAAAATCAGAACGGAAGCCAATGAAATAGAAACCTGAAAAACAAAAGCTGGTTCTTTGAGAAGGTCAATGAAACAAAAAAATTGCAGGCAAAGAAAAAAAAGATTCTACAAGTTATCAGTATCTGGAATGGCAGATGTGGTATCACTACAAATGATACAGTTATTAAATGAATAAAAGAATGTTATGAACTTTATGCAAATAATTTGACAATTTAAAAATTCTTGAAAGAAGTTAACAAGGTTTACTGAAGAAATATTCAGTTCTATATTAGAAAAATGGAATTAGTGGCCAGGCACGGTGGCTCATACCTGTAATCCCAGCACTTTGGGAGGCCAAGGCAGGCGGATCACCAGCTCAGGAGATTGAGACCATCCTGGCTAACACAGTGAAACCCCATCTCTACTAAAAATACAAAAGAATCAGCCAGGCGTGGTGGCGGGTGTCTGTAGTCCCAGCTACTTGGGAGGCTGAGATAGGAGAATGGTGTGAACCTGAGAGGTGGAGCTTGCAGTGAGCCAAGATCATGCCACTGCACTCCAGCCTGGGCGACACAGAAAGACTCCATCTCAAAAAAAAAAAAAAAGGAATTTGTAATTTAAGCCTTCCAAATATTTTCAGATGTCTCTGTTTATTGCAACTTTAATTCTGGTATAGTCAAGGAATATAGTTTGCAAAATAATGTTTTAAATTTATTAATATTTATACTCTGTCTTGGTGAATGTTTCATGAACACTTAAAAAGAATGTGGGTTGTTTGGAATGTTTTATATTAACAAATGTCAACCAGGTCAAGTTGGTTGATTATGTTGTTGAGGTCTTCTATATCCTTACAGATTTTTTGTCTATTTGTTCTTTTTTTTTTTTTTTTTTTTTTTTTTTTTGAGACGGAGTCTCGCTCTGTCGCCCAGGCTGGAGTGCAGTGGCCGCATCTCAGCTCACTGCAAGCTCCGCCTCCCGGGTCTATGCCATTCTCCTGCCTCAGCCTCCCGAGTAGCTGGGACTGCAGGCGCCCGCCACCTCACCCGGCTAGTTTTTTGTATTTTTTTAGTAGAGACGGGGTTTCACCGTATTAGCCAGGCTGGTCTCGATCTCCTGACCTTGTGATCCGCCCGTCTCGGCCTCCCAAAGTGCTGGGATTACAGGCTTGAGCCACCGCGCCCGGCCTATTTGTTCTATTAATTACCAAGAGGAGTGATGAAGTCTCCAATGACAATTGTCAATTTGTCTTTCTCTATTTGCAGTTCTATCATTTTTCCTTGCAATTCAACGTGTACTCATTTAGAATTACATTTTCCCAGCCAGACACGGTGGCTCACACTTGTAATCCCAGCACTTTGGGGAGGCTGAGGCAGGTGGATCACCTGAGGTCGGGAGTTCAAGACCAACATGGTGAAACCCCATCTCTGCTAAAAATACAAAAATTAAGCCAGGCATGGTGGCGGGCACCTGTAGTCCCAGCTACTTGGGAGGTTGAGGCAGGAAAATCGCTTGAAGCCAGGAGGGGGAGGTTGCAGTGAGCTGAGATTGCGCCATTGCACTCCAGCCTGGGAGACAAGAGTGAGACGAGACTCTGTCTCAAAAAAATCAATCAATCAATAAATACATTTTCCCAGTAAACAGACCCTTTTATCATTATGTAATCTTGCTCTTTATCCCTGATTGTATTCCTTGTTCTGAAGTCTACTTCATCTGATAATAATATAGTCATTTCTGCTTTTTTGTTAATGTTTGCATGGTGTATCTTTTCCCCACCATTTAACTTTTATCTATGCCTTTATATTTAAAGTATGTTTATAGTTGGATACTGCTTTTTCATTCAATCATAGAATCTCTGTCTTTTAACTGGTATATTTAGATCATTGACATTTGATATTTTTAAATATATAGTTAGATTAAAATCTATCTACCTTGTTAACTCTATCCTTTGTTCTATCTGTTCTTTGGTTTTTGTTCTGTTTTTGCCTTCTATGGTCTAAATGACCATTTTTAATAATTCTATTTTATATTATTGTTTACATCTAATTAAACATTTTCAGTTGTTACTTTACATCTTTAATTGGAATATACATTCAAATAATATACAACTTAACATGTTAAGATCTTATATATTCCCATTTTCTCTGACATCCATTATGCTTGTCATATTTTACTTTTATATGCTGTTTACCTGGTACATTTTTATTCTAAGACAGCCAGTTACTTTTTTAGATAAGTTTTAAAAGTTATTACATTCATGTATTCCATTTCCGCATCTCTTCATTTATTTGTGTATCTCCAAGTGTCTGTTGTGTTTCACCGTCCTTCTGTTTGAAGAACTTTTCTTGTAGAGTAGGTCTTAATGTATTATTCTCTCAGTTTTGTTTCTCTCAGAGTATTTATCAATTTGAAAGATTTTCATGAACATTTCGTGAAGACAGTTTTTTTCTTTAGCTCTTAAAAGATGCCATTACATTGTCCTCTGGCCTGCAATACTTCTGATGTCTGCTGTAAGTTTCTTAACTTTGTTCCTCTATATGTAATTTTTTCCCCTCTCTGGCTTGCTTCAAGATTATTTCCAGTAGTTTGAACATAATATGGCTGAGGTGGTGTGTGTGTGTGTGTGTGTGTGATTTTAATATTTATCTTTCTTGAGGTTCTCCGGGCTTCATAGATTTGTGTTCTGGATTCATAAATTTTGGAAACATATTGGCCATTATGTCTTCAAATATTTCTTCTGTCCCACTTATTATATATCTTCTGGGATTCCAATTATGTGTATGTGTTGGACCAATGGATATTTTCTCAGAGCTCTTGGATTCTCTGTTCCTTCTTGTCCTACCCCACCCGACTTATGTTTTAGTTTAACTTTTATTGTCCAAACGTCAAATTCATTTACCTTTTCCTTGACTATGTCAAGAATATTGATGAGCCCATAGAAGACATTGTTTTTCTGCTTTTTTCATTCCCAGTATTTCCATTTTATTCTTATAGTTTTGGTGTCTCTGCTCAAATTACCCATCTAATCTTGCCTGTTGTGCACTTTTCCATTACAACTCTTAAGATACTACTCATAGTTCCTTTGAGTTCCATGTCAGTCCAACAGCTATGTATTTCTGAGTCTAGTTCTGATGAATGTTTTGTTTCTTGGTGGGGTAAGGTGTTGATTTTTGCATTTTTGTATGCCTCATAGTTTTTGTTTGTTTTTTCCTGAAAGCCAAGTATCTTCTGTAGAACAACAGATATGAAGGTAAATAAATTTAATTCCTGGAAAGGGGATGTTTTTCTATGTAGTCTTTAGGGTGTGGGAGATGGGTGGGTAAGATTTTTATTATTATAGCTAGGAATTGAGGAAGGCTTATGGTTTGTTGTTGCTGTATTATCGTAAGTTCACCAAAGGTTTCAGATATGAATAGCGATTCCTTATCTTTAGGGTCAGAACTGATTTTCCCAAGGATCTATCTCAATGTCAGGGTGACCTTAAGGTTTAGGTCCCATTGGATTATGCTTCAGAAACCCCATCTATACTATTTTCATTCATTCAAATATTTATTGAGTGCTTACCATTGAACTATGTGTCATTGTCCTAAATGTTGGAGCTTGTAACTCCCCAAATACTCTATTACTATTTGCTATTATTTTATGCATCTGTAATTTTCTCTTTGCCTTCAGTAGCTTTCCAACTTTTGTGTGCCTAGTAAATTCATGTTCTTCCTTTAATGCTATCTGCAAAAACAATCCCTGTCCCCGTACCTCCATCACCATGAAGTTTATCATCCTTTTCTCTGTACTACCTATGCACCTTATACAGAATTCCATATTACCTGAATTCCCTGGTAAACTGTAAGTGTCTGTTGCAAGGACAGTGTCTTATTCGTTTACATATCCCCAGGATTTAGCAGTGATTGGTCCAGGGTATCTACATGCACAACAAATATGCAGCTAAAATGTTTGCTAATGAAAACTGGAAATCTATAGGTGTCTATTAAAAGCAAAATACTGTAATAATGGGCTCTCCTACAACAGTCTAGGAATAAAGCAAAACATTTTTCTTGCCAGTTTTTTCAGGACTTAAAAAAAAACACAAAGTTGATTTCCTTCTTAGTTTGGATATATTTTTAAAATTCATGTAATGCAAAATAATTTAAATAATAAATGATTCAGCCTATTGGGATGTAACTGAGTTCCAAGCATTTGGAGGACACATAAACCCAAAGTTATCTTACCTTTATGGCACTTTCACAAATGCCTTTAAGAGTTTAAGAAAAGGAGAGAATAGACAAAACCAGATGAAATGAGGATTTTTGACTAGGCCAGAAATAAATCAGTGAAGATATGCAATTCTCACAAGTAATTCCAAGTTAACTTTATCATGTATTGCCATTCTAATGCTCTCTTGAAATCCCCAGGAGGAACAAGAAATGCAATAGGCAATGAGATAAGCCTGAGGAAATTAGGTTACCGTGGGCAGGGCATCCTCTTGCTTCTCCCCAGTCTTCAGGTGTGTCACAATTCATTCGGGACTGACGTGTATTTGTATGGCAGATTGGCAGAGGAATTAACAAGCTAGAGGGTGTGTGTAGAAAAGAGGGGGAAAAAAGGACATGCCTCTGCATGAGTAACCTCTGTGCTGTTTGCTCACCCATTTGCTCCAAGGGGTGGATTTTTATACTTGCTTTACAAATATGAAAGAACAAGTTTAACTGGGAAGTTAGTTGTACTATCCTGTATGCATGCTCACCCCTCACAATTTGGATTGTTGTTTTATCAATTGTGGTCAAAGTTAGGATGACCTAACCCATGTACATTCCACAAAGTCATCTTAAACTTTAGGTATTCTCAAAAATAGCTTTTACAGAAGGAAAACTTACACAGAAGAGCCCAACTGTATATGATCCAATTGCAAAAAAGTTCTCTGATTTTATTTCTTATATATTTGGCACAAACAGCAGAGACTGAAAGTTACTACACATGTTGAACTGCTGACAGGAAAAGAACCCAGTATATAAACCTAGGGTTTCCACTCCATATATTAGTTTGGGCTGCCATTACAAAACATCATAGACTGGGTGGCTTAAACAACAATTTACTGCTCACAGTTCTGAAGCCTGGAAGTCTGAGAACAGGTGGCCAGCATGGTTAGGTTCTGGTGAGGGCTCTCTTCCTGTTTTGTAGACAGCTGGCTTCTTGCTGCATCCTCACATGGTGCAGAGAGGAAGCAGGCTTTCTGATGTCTTTTTTGTTTGTTTGTTTTTGAGACACAGTCTGGCTCTGTCACCCAGGCTGGAGTGCAGTGGCGTGATCTTGGCTCACTGCAACTTCTGCCTCCTGGGTTCAAGCGATTCTTCTCCCTCCACCTCCCGAGTAGCTGGGACTACAGGCAAATGCCACCATGCCCAGCTGATTTTTGTATTTTTAGTAGAGACGGGGTTTCACCATATTGGCCAGGCTGGTCTCGAAATCCTGACCTCGTGATCCGCCCACCTTGGCCTCCCAAAGTGCTGGGATTACGGGCATGAGCCACTGCGCCCCGCCCAATGTCTCTTCTTATAAAGGCACTAATCCCATCATGAGGGCTCCACCCTCATGACCTCATCTAATTCTAATTGCCTCCCAAATGCCTCATTTCCAAGTAACATCACATTGATGGTGAAGATTTTAACATAATGAATTTTGAGGGGGGGGAAACACAAACATTCAGTCCATAACAACTCATATTTCATCACTTATTGCATACCAGTATTGTTACATGAAAATACCAATGTTTATTCATATAAATATAGATGATTTATTTCCAAATAAAACAATACTGATTTCTCCTGGCTTTGAAATCCTCATTCTTCACTGTATCTTGGTTCTTTTACTGATAGCTTGTCTCAGCCACATTAGATGTTCACACCATGAAGATCATATATTCTCATATCCATGGAGATGGTACAATAAGGTTTCTACTGTTACACACCATTATGAGTGAATGATGCCTTTATCTACCTAAAGACTCACTTTTCTTTATTCTCACCCACAAGTTTGTCAGTTGAAAGTGGCACCCTGTTTTGCCAAGAAGTTCCTGATATTTGATAGTTCTAGATCTGAGAAACAGACTCAAATTCTTTCTTCTGTGACCTTAAACCAGGCTCAGAGCCCCATAATGGACTTCAGAATTATACTTCATTATATGTGACCAATGAATTATCTGTAAAACTATGCTGGAAGTAAAATATCAATCTTTTTTTTTTGACACAGAATCTTGCTGTGTTGCCCAGTCTGGAGTGCAGTAGCACAATCTCTGCTCACTGCAACCTCCACCTACTGGGTTCGATTCTCCTGCCTCAGCCTCTCCAGTAGCTGAGATTACAGGTGCTCACCACCACGCCGAGCTAATTTTGTATTTTTCAGTAGAGATGGGATTTCACCATGTTGGCCAGACTGGTCTCAAACTCTTGACCTCATGATCCGCCCGTCTCAGGCTCCCAAAGTGCTGGGGTTACAGGTGTGAGCCACTGTGCCCAGCCAGTCATTCTTATCAAATAAAAAATGATCTTCATTTCCTGCCCAGTCAGTGATTCTTATCAAATAAAAAATGATCTTAATTTCCAATGGCTGACCAAACTTCTGAGTTTCCTTCAGTTAATTTCAAATCCTGAGGTCAAAATCACCAATGACTTTTGCTCTTTGGCTTTCAAAGTGGGACATATCATCAAATGGTCCCATATACACAAAATTTACATTATAGACAAATAAATATTTGCCATATCTTTGATAGCCTCATTTGTTGATTTTATAGATTTAAAATCACCTTAGGCTTTTTCTTCAGAATGTGTATTCTGATGTCGAATCAGGGATGAGCTCCGACTATATGCCTTCCCACATTTACTACATTCATAGGGTTTCTCTGAAGAATGACTTCTCTGATGTCGAATAAGGTCGGAGCCACTGCTAAAGGCCTTTCCACATTCATTACATTCATAGGGTTTCTCTCCAGTATGACTTCTTTCATGTAGAATAAGAGATGTGCGCTGACTAAAGGCCTTACCACATGTTTTGCATGTATATGGCTTCTCTCCAGTGTGAATTCTTTCATGTTGGGCAAGGTGTGCGCTCTGGCTGAAGGCCTTCCCACACTGATCACATTCGTAGGGTCTATCTTCAGTATGAATTCTCTTGTGTCGCGTGAGAGAGATTCGGTGGCTGAAGGCTTTTCCACATTCCTCGCACTGGTAGGGTTTTTCTCCAGTATGAATTCTTTGATGTTCAATAAGAAATGATTGGCGGCCGAAAACTTTACTACATTTATTGCATTTGAAAGGTTTCTCTTCAGAATGAATGTTCTGATGTATTTTAAGGTTTGCAGTTCCAGAAAACATCTTCCCACATTCCTTACACTCAAAGAGTTTCTTTTTCTTTGTATGAACTTTCTGATGTTGAATAAGGGATGAATGCCGATTGCAGACCTTCTCACATTTATTGCATCTGTATATATTTTCTCCATTATGAATTCTTAGATGCAGAATAAGGGTTGAAAGCCGCCTGAAGAGCTTGTCACATTTATCACATTTGTATGGTTTCTCTGAAGTGTGAATTCTCTGGTGAAGCATCAGGGGTGAAATCCTATTAAAGAATTTCCCACATTTTCTGCATTTATAAGGATTCTCTAAATGGTGATTTCTTTGCTGTAGACTCTGACTTAAGGCCTTCACATTTTCAGGGATTTTCTCTCCAGCATGAATTCTTTTATTTATAACAAGGGCTGATTTCTTTTTGAAGCCTCTCCCACATTTATTATATTTATGTGTTTTCTTTCCATTGTGAATTCTTTTATGAAGTAAAAGGGATGACATCTGACTGAAGGCTTTCCCACACTTTTTGCACTGGCAGACATTCCCAACAACGTGAATTTTCTGATGTATATTGAAAGACTGACATTGACTCAAGGCCTTCTCACAGTCAAGAATTTCCTTTCCATCATGAATTCTCCTATGTAGAATAAGGGTTGTTCTTTGATTGAAGCTTTCCCCACATTTATCACATTCATGGCTTTTCTTTCCACTGTGAATTCTCTGATGAAGTACGAGGGATGAGATCTGTCTGAAAGCTTTTCTACAATTACTGCATTCAAAAGGCTTCTCTCCAGTATGAATGTTCTGATGAAGTTTAAGAGAGAAGCTTCGACTAAAGGTTTTACCACAGTCATTACATTTTAAAGGTTTCTTCCCGGAATGCCCTTTCTTAGCCTTTATTAGGACTGAATTTTTGTTGCAGCCACTCTTTCGTGTAGGAGCTTTTGGTTGTGCAGAAACTAGTTTCTGGCAGATGCTTTGCCCAGATTTGCTGCATTGATTTGGAGGTAACTTCTTGGTCTCACACTTAGACCCCGAGTCTGAAAGACATAAAGGAATTAAATGTTTCTCCTTTCCTGTGCTGAAAAAATGAAGATTCTACAATATAAATGCAATTATCATTATTAATCATAACAATTTTGATTACCAAAACAATAACTTTTTAGTGTTTTATTATGGTTTTGATGACCATACTAAAGGCTTTACAGAGATATTTAATAACCAGAATTCAGAAGAGTCTGTAATTGGAAAATGAGTAAGTTAAGATTTTATTTATAGGGTAACTTTTATGCCATATACTGCACATTGAACTCCACAGGTTGTTCACTGGATAAACATATGTTTATTGGAGAATGTGTCCAGAAAAGGCAAATCTACAGAAACAGAAGATAAGTGGTTGCCTGGGACTCAAGGTAGGAATGAGGATTAACTGTAAATGGGCATGAGGAATCTTACAGGGGTGATAAAAATGTTCTAAAACTGGATTATGTTGATGGTTACACACTCTGTAAGTTTATCCAAAATCATTTAATTATATTCTAGATATAGTGACTTTTATGATGTTTACCTTAATAAAGTTGTAGATTTAAAAAAATGTATTCTTAAGATCAAATTGAAAAAGAACTAGTAACAATTAGAACTGAGTACAGTCACATGTTGCTTAACAATGGGGATATGTTGTAAGACATGCAGTGTTAGGCAATTTCATCAATGTGCAAACATCTTATAGTAGATTTACATAAACCTAAATAGTATAGCCTATACACCAATGTTATATTGTATAGCCTGTTCCTAGGCTACAAACCTGTACGTGATGTTACTATATTGAATCCTGTAGGCAATTTTAACACTATGATAAGTATTTGTGTATCTAAATATACATACATGTAGGAAAGGTACAGTACAGATACAGTTTTATGATCTTATAGAACCGTGGCCGTTTATGTAGTCTGTTGTTGACTGAAACATCATTATGCAGCATATGACTGTATGTAGATATTTACAAAGGTGAGGACTTTAACAAGAAGCAGGAAAAAACTCAGAAAAATAGGTAAGAGATTAGGCTAAAAGAAGGAATCTATTATTTAGTAAAATAGACCAATATGGCTGGCACAGGGTGTCAAAGTCCAAGATGATATAAAATAACTACTTGTGTAGCAAACTGACTATAAACCTGAGTGAATGTGGAATGATAAACATAGGTTTAGAACTATGCTATCCAATTTAGTAGCCATTAGTCACCTGTAGCTACTGAGGAACTGAAATGTGGCTGGTTTTGAGGTATATTACGAGTATAAAACATATGCCAGATTGTGAAGATTTACTACAAAAAAGTGTAAAGTATCTCATTGTGAAAAGACTGGTTATATGATATAATATGTTGGATCTATTAGGTTAAATAAATATATTACTAAAATTAATTTTACCTGTTTGTGTTTGGAAGTTCTTATACTGCTATAAATAAATACTTGAGTGGGTAATTTATAAACAAAATAGGTTCAATTGGCTCATGTTCTGCAGGCTGTACAAGCATGGTGCTGGCACCTCCTTGGCTTCTGGGGAGGCCTCAGTGAGCTCTTACTCATGGTGAAAGTCCAAGTAGGAGAAGGCACATCACATGGTGAAACAAAGATAAAGACAGAGTGTGGAGGTGGTGCCACATATTACAACAATCAGATTTTGTAAGAACTCACTCCCTATTGCTAAGACATCACCAAGGGAATGGTGCTAAACCATTCATAAGAAATCCACCCCCATGATCCAGTCACCTCCCACCAGACCCCACCTCCAACACAGGGGATTAAATTTCAACATGAGATTTGGTGGGGACACAGATCCAAACCATATCACTGTTTTTAAATTTTTATTTGAATGTGGATACTAAAGATTTTGTCAGTACATATGTGGCTCACATTATATTTCTATTTCCTAGCTGTGCTTTAAACACAGACATTACTGAATTAACTGAGGTGTTTTTCATTTAACTACATAAGCTTGTGACTCACTTGTTAACTCTATTACCATAAGCATATTATCTTGAAAATATAATCACCTACCTCACAAGATTTTCATGAGAATTGGAAATAATGTGCAAAATTTCTGGCACACGCTGTGACCTCTAATCTGCCATTCCAGTATTCAAAAAGCTGAGAACCAAAGTCTTTCCTTTTTTCTTTTCCTTTTTGAATGTTTGGACGTTTGGAGTGAAACCCCGTCTGAAATGCAGTAAGACTGTTCATAGCCTCCATTTATTGCTCTTGGGAAGTCTAGTCTTCGTAGCTATCTCAGTGTGTTTGATTTTGGGGTGCTGCTCCAGCCTCTGCTGGGTATGTTATGCCACATATAGTATATGACCTGTTTTCCTTTCTAAAATCTGCACAATTCTGAATTGTGAAACACATATTGCTCCAAGGGTTCTAGAGAAAGCTTTGTCGACCTGCAGTTGCTTAATAACTGGTAGTAGCTACCATTATAATTATTAATAGTAGAAGTTCCAGAAAACAACCAGACAAAATAAGGAATTAACACAGGAAGACAATGGAAATGTTTACAGTGAAGTTAGCAGCATCAGCAAAACAAGAAACCCAGGATTCCTCCTGTAGTCCTTCCCACCCCACATCCCATTAAGTCACATCAGTTAAGCTGCTTCTCCCTCTCACATTCTCCTAAAACTCTTAGCTTCCCTTCCTTTTCCTTGGTACCTTCCTTTGTTCCTTCTTGTGTGGAATACTAACATATCCTCTTAGCCCATCTCCCCATCTTCAATGTGGAAATCCTTAAACCACACCATACACCAAAATTAATCCCAGGTAAATTAGTTCAATATAAAGTACAAAATCACTACAAACTAAAATAATAGGAAATATACCCCAAATTCTAGAAACCAGATGAATTTCTAACTAAGGAAATAAAAAAAAGAAAAATTACATTGTGAATGCCAACACTTCCAATCACATAAAAATGAAAAAAACTTTCATATAACCAAACAGAAAAATAAGAGGTAAATAAAATAAGTCTTAAGAAAGAATGTGGAAATATTTGAAGTAAAATGTAATGTCATATGGTTAATGCATTTTCTATATGAAAGCTTACTATACAAGCAGAAAATAAAAAACAAAGTCACTGTTAGATAAAAGAAGAAGGATCATGAAAAAACAATTCACGAGAATAATTACAAACAGAAAACAAATGCTGGCAAATCTACAAGAAAGATTTATGGCCTATCCAGTACGGGTAAACTCATGTGGATATCCAGTCTATTCACAAGGGCTCAAGAAACAAACTGGTACTTCGGAGACTGAGGCAGGAGGACTGCTTGAGCCCAGGAGTTTAAGGCTGCAGTGAGCCATGACTTCTCCACTACACTCCAGCCTGGGTAACAGAAGACCCTGTCCCTATCTCCTTAAAACAAACAAACAAACGTGGCGACTCACACCTTTAATCCCAGCACTTTGGGAGGCAAAGGTGGGTGGATCACGAGGTTAGGAGTTCGAGACTAGCCTGACCAACATGATGAAACCCCATCTCTACTAAAAACACAAAAATTAGCTGGGTGTGGTGGTATGTGCCTGTCATCCCAGCTACTCAGGAAGCTGGGGCAGGAGAATTGCATGAACCCAGGAGGCGGAGGTTGCAGTGAGCTGAGATCATGCCACTGCACTGCAGCCTGGGTGACAGAGCAAGACTCCATCTCAAAAAACAAAACAAGAAAAAAGGAGAAAGTGGAGGAGCCAGATGGCCAGAGCCCTCCAGCGATTGTCCCCTCTGCAGTAACACCAAATTGAACAACTATCCACACAAGAAAACACCTTCATAGGAACCAAAAATTAGGTGAGCAATCAAAGTATCAGGTTTTAACATTGTATTCAAAGAAAGAGGCACTGAGGAGGGTAGAAAAGACAGTCATCATTTGCCTGCACCACCCCTCCCTCAATGCCTGGCAGTGCAGCATGGCAACAAGATTAGAGAATCTATGTGTTTGGAGGAGGAAGAATAGAGTGATGCTGGGACTTTGCATTGGAACTCAGCGCTGCCCTGTCACAGCAGAAAGCAACGTGGGGCAGAATTTGGCCAGCACCCCCAGAAGAAGCATTTAAATCAACTCTAGCCTGAGAATTGTCCACCACAGTGGTGGAAACTTGAGTTCCAGCAAGTACGCCTACTACAGACTAAAACACTCTGGTGTCCTAAGTAAATCTGAAAGGCAGTCTGGGCCACAAGGACTGCAATTCCTGGGCACGTCCTAGTGCTGTGCTTGGCTCAGAACCAGTGGACTTAGGGTACGTGCTACCCAGTGACACACCAGCTGGAGTGGCCACGAGAGTGTTTGTATCAACTCTCTCCCACCTCCTGGCAGCACAGCTGGCAGCTCCAGCAGGAGAGGGAAGAGTAAAGAGGACATTGTCTTGCAACTTGGATATGAGCTCAACCACAGTAAAATAAAGTACCAAGCAGTGTCCTGAAGGCCTCATTCTAGGCCATAGCTCCTGGACAAGATTTCTAGACCTACCCTGGGCCAGAAAGGAACTCGCTGCCCTGAAGGGAAAAACAGGCCTGGAAGAATTTACCACCTGATGAATTAAGACCTCTTGGGCTTCAAATAAACATCTGTGGTAGCCAGGCAGTGGTAACCACAGCCCTTGGGCAAGAATGAGTACTATGCTGGCTTCAGGTCAGACCCAGCACAGTCCAGTGGTGGTGGCCATGGGAGTGTTTCTATCCCCCCTTCCCCAACTCTAGGCAGCTCAGCACAGACAGAGACACTCCATTCATTCAGGGAAAGTAAGGGAGAAGAATGACTTCCTGGTAATCTAGGGAATTCTCCTGGATCTTACCAAAAACCACCAAGGCAGTACCTCTGTGAGTCTACAAGAGTCACAGAGTTACTGGCTATGGGGTGATCCCTAATGCAAACATGGCTGCAGTGAACAAAGACACACCCTAGCCCCTTTGAATACATGGCAAGTCTTCTCTGGAAGGACCAGTACAAACAAGCCCAGACTACAAAGATAAGAATAAATACCTAACTCATCAATGACCA